GTTGATCGGTCATCTTTATGAGATACGGACGGGAAGCATCACACATATACGTCATCTCGAGTGCTTGATTCGTCGGGAGCTTGAACAAGCTCTGGTCCGATCTATCTCACCACCACTCCAATGGAAAAAGACTCGCTAGAAAACTCCAATGGTAGAGCTGCTATCTCGAAGTCAGTCACACGTACTCGTCCGGCATCGTGAATACCCAAAGGCATTCGGCCGGAACCAGGAATTAGTGTCGCCTAATAGGATCATTGAAGTGATCCATACACCAGAAAGACTTCCGTGGATAATGCCATGGTCATGCACCGTCACAAAAGCTTGGATTGGCGCAAGAAATAATCAATGCGTACGATAAAGAACTACGGAAATGACTTTCAAGAGCTGCATGCTTCAGATACCCGTGCGTGCATATGGGGTTATCCATGGAAGGTATGGATGATATGATCGATCACACGGACAGGCGAATGTACACGCCTTTTACATGTACATGTAGCATAGGGTCCTCGGTAGTCAATTGTGCTTTTCTAGTCACAACCTAGATCGCATGATGTAACTATGATGACGGTTCCTGCTGATTGTACACACATAATTCCAATTGGTAAGACACAACGACAATACTGCGCGGTGTCCAATCATCGTTAATCACATGCGAAGACCGTAAGCTACACGTGGGTTAACACATAGCATCTCTATAGCGATACATCAGATCTTGGACATGAGCATGAGCAATGAGAGGTCGTTGTGGTAACTCAACTCAACATTGATCGATAAAGCTCTAGTAACAATCTTCAATGGCAGACGCTTAGGCCTTGACACCCCTAAGGATGGCCACAACCACCTGGTGATCAGTGCGAGTATTACAGTATGGCTGCCGGCCCGATAAGACACGAGAGCGCTGCGGCAATAGAGATGCATCCGAATGAACTGTAAATAGTGGTTTTCATGAGCTTATGTAGGCACTGATCGAGATCTTCGGTATCCGGAACCTCGAAAAGCTCGGGACCAGCCAATCGTACGTTACTCCTGAATCCTAATGTAAGAGGTCTTGGTTAGATCGGAGCATGTAGTATGGTTCACTACAAGCGCTCTTTCGTCAAGAAGTACGTTGCAGGAACGAAGATGTGAGAAGCGTGACATATCTGCACACCGCACAATTGCTTACACCTGTGAGATCTGCATGAGCTACTTTGTTGCAGTGGACCGTCTATGCGCCATTTTATCTTAGTGCAATGCAAAATGATATGACACGACTTACGGAGACCAGCAGCTACACCAGCAAGGTATTACGATGCCCGTGAGTTGTGGCGCAGCTATACCATTGGGGACGACTTACCAGACTGAATTTGTGGGCCTGTCATGGTTTTCATTAAGGCATGTGCTCAAGGATCCATTGGGTATTCGTGGATATACGGTAGCTGGTACTCGACCGGACCCGTCCCGTAGGCAATCCCGCACAAGGGAAGAATGTTATTATGGCACATTAGTCTCCACTTGCGGAAGTCGACCATCAACGTTCAACGTTCAACCTCTGCAAATATGTTCGTATCATTATAGCGGGTGTTCTACATCCTCACACATTTAACCGCCACCTTGAGACTTATCATCAGATGTCAATTTGATACGAAACTTCTACCAACCTGCGTAGTATTGTCTCTTTTCTAAGAATCTGCATTTCCATTCGTCACCGAAACTGTCCTGGGCAATAGCATAAGTCAATTCCTTGACAACCTTCATGGTAAGGTCGACCAGGCGTCTAAATTGGTTAAAAAATTGCCATGTGAGTCAGCTTCATGCAAGTTGGAACTCTGCAAAAAAACTGCGTCTACTCACCCATTATCATTGACGTCTACATCCAGGTACGTCGAGCTCGACGTTTCTGGTTCTGGTTGGACTTTCCACCATTGATTGGGCAACGCACTAAAGATCCAGGTGGGAAGGGAAAGTATTTTTCGGACTGGCAGCGTAATGAGGTCGGATCTTTTAGGCCCCAGTGCAGTTTGGATAACCAGAAGAATGAGAATATTCGCAAGATCCCTGCCTTTGTGTTGACGTTCAAGGGCTGGCTGTAGACTAGCACCAAGGCGCTGGCATTCATGGGAGTTTACCACGACCGCAGGAATATGCCGTTGTACCAACATAAGGTTAGTCCCAAATTCTGAATGACGTTGATCAAATTTTTAGGTTTCTCTTCTCCTCGGTCGTCCAACCGGTCATCTAATAGTACGACCATGTCATCTGCAGCTCTGCGATCGATCAGCACTTCATGCGAAGATGGCTTTGATGGCGTTGACAGATCAGCTAGATTCTCCTTCCGTCCTTCTTGTTCAGTTCTTGCTTCAGTCAGTGGTCCCATTACAGCCCGTCTAGCAGGTGAGCACCCACCCTGTTCGCGCAACCGTCGAAGTGCACGTCCACCCGCTCCCATCAGTGTCAGGAACCGCAGATCTCGATATGAGAGATCGTAGAACGCTCGTGCCTTCTCGCACAACACCCTCGCACTTTCATTCGGGTCATCGTTTGAACCATAACGAATCCGACCCCCAGTTATTCCCTTCTCGGAGCTGTCCAGCATTGCTGGATAACGCTCCATTGAGTATCATTAATGCAGGGTGTCTGAGTGCAATGGCTTGATGCCTGTAGATATCGCAAAGAAGATCTGTCTGCCACGACGGAAGTAATGACAAGGAGCTTTATCAGAAAGGACCCATCGCAATGCTGAGGACACAATCACTGAGACATAAAATACGCACTTGAAGTATGATACCTCCGAAGGAGTATACATCACTTTGGGTACTAGGGAAGCCCACAGAATTACTTGATTCGTCGGAAATTTGGAGGACATCGACGGCAGAGGGGCGACGTCCTATATCACCCCAGCATTTTTCGATGAAATTTAGAAAGAATCTGCGTCGTGTGGACTCGATAGTCTTGTAGGCTTCTTACCCTTCAGTATCAGGACAATGACTTGATAATCGCTTCGCACATCTGCATAGGGTGGCCTACCTGTCATAACCTATGAAATCTTTAGTCGCAAACTAACGCAACCACTAGGGAACACCTCCAGCCTGAAGCATGATGCATCCGAAGGAATGAATATCGCTGGCTGGTTGAGGAGTCAATGACTCTTCGCTCTCGGGGACCTCGAAGAGCTCTGGCGCAGCCCACCGCACGTTGCTTCTGATGTATGAAGTCCCTGAGAGCTCAGAACACATTGTGAGAATTCCATGATCTGCGGCTACTTGGGCATTGCAGTCCGAATCTATCAGGATGTTGTTCTGGCATTTCAGATCAGAGCTAAAAGGCGATTTTCAGACAACTAGTACATACGGAGGTAAGGTCACCATGGGCAACACCCTTCGAGTGGACTGCAATGCCGTTGCACAAACTGAAGAGGATTCCACATACGGTAGCTGATGGCTGCAGCGACTTGCCGCAACTAAAATTCCAATCAATACCATGATGTAACAGCACTTCTGATAAACTCACGATCAGGTGCTTTTGTTTGATGGTCAATTCCGTAAAATCGTGTTCAAGATATGTAGTAAGCGAGCCGTTGTGTATCCAGGGAGAAATCATCGCTGGAAGTAGCCCGAATTCGTGACTGAAACCGAGCAAAGGCAAAAGATTTTCGTGATGCAGTTGCTTGCGTGCACGAAAATCGCCCAAGAGTCTCTATGAAGACATGAGGTTTGAGCGAGCGCATCACATGCAAAGGGGAAACTGATAACGTACTTGAGTAACTCCGGCCCTGGATTCGTCACCTGCGACATCGACCCTGATGGATTTGACTGCTACCTGTCATGAATTCAGATTGTTGGGCAGCCATATGTGTAGCATGCTTGCCTCCAGGCGGTTGGATGCGATGTAGGTGCATTTCCACACATCCCCGAAACTACCGTGCGCTACTGGATGAGGCGACTCCTTGAATACGAATCCTGTCAGGTCGGGTAGGCTGCATTAGAAATTGCATAGGAAGTGCATTGTCAGAGCTTGTTACAGGGTATAATGATCATGCACTTGCTGGTTGTCGGTGTCAATGATCTCACCACCACCGATGGTAGCTATCATAACAGACGGGCGGCTTTTCCACCACAACAATTTCCTCCCGATGTTCTCTAACAAAGACTTGCAGTGGGATAGGAAAGGTAGTAGAATCATTTAGGTTGGTAGACTCATGCATATGCATTCTCCATTCCACCCAGTCTAGTGTCACGTTAAGCCATGTTAGACACCCTTCCACTGTGGAATCTGCAATATGTACTAGAACCAATTGCCGGTTGATTGTACCCGGTGCACCAGCGAATCCTGCATCCGATCAACGCGAATATTATGCTTCATTTCGCTGGAACAAGATCTCGCGGTCCTTACAGCAGCACTACCTGCAACGATAGTCGCTCTCTTACCGCCTGAACCATCTTCCCTGGGCGTTCCACTACTGTGGTCTACACTGGTAGTAAATGAATCAACTTTAATTCTAGTGTGCAACGTTGTAGCCCGAACAGAACGCTTCAATTCCCATTTAAACGCAGAAAGTTTGGAAATTTCGCCGGTCTATATATGTAGACTTATCACAGACTCCGCATGCAGGACTGCGTGTAGGTCCGTGTTAAGTCTATATAGACGGCCAATTTTCGGATGTTCTCCGTAAATGATTGTGGAATTCCATTCTCCGTTGACCATCACGTCACAACGATCACCTTGCGTTCCGCCTCATTCGTGAGTAGACGGAACTTTCCCGTTTGAATGGGCGTTAATAATCGTAAATTTTCATTCTCCGCCAGGGTGACTACAACATGTTCATATTGATATGAACGAGTTGTGTTGTTTTGCCTTGAGACATACACATTACTAGAACAGAACAGCCTGCATGATGCTATATCATTTCATTCATCTGCAGAAGACTTAAAGGCATCGGGTTAGAGAAGGGACTTGAACACAGCGAAGGCGCAAGTCAAGACATACATTTTGCTTTTTCCTTGTCTCAAATCAGCATTGCAATGTCCAGTTCTGCTCGCCCACAACCGCCTAGGGTGAGTGTTGTTCAACTCTTGTTTAGCTGGGATTGACTTGAAACCAGTCCAACCATACTGGGATCGAAGAACCTCTACACCACATAGACACGCTCGGCATTGTCGTTTGTGGAGAAAGCGGATCTGGCAAAAGTTCATTGGTCAATTTGATTGCTGGGACGAATATCGCGAAGACATCTCCCGATGCTGTGGGATGTACGACTGGAACAAATGTATACGACTCGGACAAATTGACAAGTCGCCAGGCTGGGACGTTGAAGGTAAAGCTTATCGATACAGCTGGTCGGTCCAATCCACCCCTCTTCGTGGCTATTACTGAACTGGATCGCAGGTCTGGATGAGGGCACTCAAGGTATGGTTTCAGATGAGGAAGCTCGAAAAGTTTTGAAGGAGCTTCTTCGAACTCTGACGAAGCAAGGCAACGTTCATCTCATCATGTACCGTGTGCGGGGTGGGAAGAATATTCGGACACTCCGCCGGAACTACGAGTTAATCCGTTCTCAAGTCAAGAGCAAAGTTCCAATTGTCCTTGTCGTCACATGTTTGGAAATTTATCGACCAGAGATGGAAGACTGGTGGAAGGTCAATGAAAAAACCATCTTAGGCCTCGGGATGATCTTTTCTGGCCACGCTTGTATCACTACGATGGAAAGGGAAGAGCTTATGTTTGTGGAGCGCCGCAACCAGTCATACGATGCTGTCTGGAACCTCATCCGAGAGCAGTGTCGCCAAGGCACTATTCATGAGGTCCAAATGTATGTTATATTCCACACTTTGTATATCGTATTTCCCTCACATTGGTACTAAGTAGGACACAGCGTGACAGCGGGGGGTGGTACAGGCGGGTGTTAGCTACCATTTGCTTGGCTTAGTCGGCAGGACCTTCGGCACTACCATCATCATCCCCGCCCAGGCCGACGGTGATGATAAGGAGTCTTTTTCGGAGTCTGCGTCTGTGAATAAAGCGTAGTGGTTGTACTGGCGTAGTGAAGGACTGGAGAAGTGCCAGCTCCACTCATCGTACAAAGGACAATAGGCACAACTAATATGAATTACCACCGGTGTTGTTATTTATGGTAACAGCTGCTCCGACGGCGTCGGATACACTTGGAAAGTTTGTACCACCTGCACCTAGTCTTATCTAATATTATCAAAGTAGCTTGGAACAAAGTTCAACATAACCGAAACAGAATTATCAGCAGGTAGGTGCCAAAACACGACAAACAGTCCGAAGTTCATAACAGGAGTTGCTTCCCTAAACATGCGTGATACCGTATGGAACTGAACACCCATGCGTCGACGGTGCTTGTCAACGCATACTGCGGCTTCTCGCTCGGCGTCAGTGACCCGTCTGCTTGGGGAGCGCGAATTCGTGGGATTAATCATTGTAGAAATAACTCAACTTAGCCTATCCTCGTGTCCTCGATCATCACAAGGGTCGGACAATGGAATTAGGGCCGAAAAACATTCATGTCCTATTGTATTGCATGTGGATGGGTTTCGACACCGATGGTACAAGAAGCACTGAATGATCCGGCCGTCATCGGACCTTTATTAGCCGCGTAAGTCACTGTCGTTTTCTTCACGTATCTACTTAGCGTGGCTTACTATTTCGTATGATAGCACTCCATTGAAACAAATTGGGACACCTCTGGACGTTGCAAATTAAATAGTGGTAGTGTTTTCATCGGTAGTCTCGGGACACGTAACTGAGCAAGTGATCTTCGTAGAAGGCGGTTGTGTAGGGGACATTTCAGCAACTACTATGAATGAGTGAAGTTGTGGTTCGTACCGATACAGCATGATGAAAACAAGTAGGCAGCAGGCACGTGAGGTATATGTTGCGAGTTCTGCAGTACGAAAAATCGTGTAAGTTCAAGTTACTAGACAAAGGATTGGAAGAGGGCCAAGTACCCCGAAACAGACCAGGAATCCGAGTCTCGCAACGACTAGCCAGTGAGATGCGCTCGCACCTTTCCTATGCCACCTAGTAGGCCGAGCTCAGCATTCCGAACCGAGTCTTTACACAAGTAAGCTTGCATCACGCATGGCTTCAAGATGAGCTTACCACTCTAAAGGTCTAGATCGACACTAAGACATCCGATCGACGCCCAAGTTGAGGCGTGCCGCATCGAGCTAAGATTCAATGAGATCAAGATTAATATGTCGATCGACAAAATGATGCACGCACGTATAGGAAATTCACACGCCTGTAGGGACCTCGAATTCGTGAGCGAAAATTAATACGAAGAACCCGTTTCAAAGGCGTGGACAAGGCGATGCGGATCAACGCCGCTGAGTTGCCGCTTGCTGGTGAGGCTTATCGTTGCCGTACTCAACTTTCGACCTCCAAGGGTGGAGGCCTGAGGTGTACTAGTCGTGGAACATATAATACTCATGGCCCGGGACATGCCGGTGATAGGGCATATACTTGTCTAGGCACCCGAACAATCTTACGTCAACGCTGCATGATTTTTCTTGTTACAGTGAGCGCAGCCATATCATCTCCTTCTCCGCACCAATTTCCACATTTGCGTGGAGGGCTATTTGTTTCTTTCGAGATCTCAACATTACGGCTTTCTCTGCCCATTGATGGTTCCGCCTCCCTCGAAGGAGCAAATGAAGTCAAGGGTGAACTTTCGGCCATCAAAATAGCTTTGTTATACACGATAATAATCTAGGATCTTTCACAAGGACATCTGACATGCATGGTGCGTCATCACATTCGTGCGGGTGAAAAACTTATCGCATCTTGGACAAACAGCCACAATCTTCTTCTCATGCACCTCGTTAATGTGACGACTGAGGCCGTCCCTACTGATGAATTTCGGACAATTGTCCCGGGGGCATTTTACTTTGGGGCGTCCTATTTTGACCTTTACTGGGCCAGTTTGCACAGAACCAAGCTGTTGGGCGGCGGGTTGCCCAGCGGGCTCACGCACGGGATCGGACGTGCCATCGACATCGATCGATAGATCTATGGATACATTGTAAACGTCTCAAGGAAAAGCTAGCAATGATAGCAAATTCACCGAAGCGAGCACCCACACCCTCTGATGAGGATCCTGTGACATCCATGTCATAGGATGCCGGGAAGCCCTCAGGGTATATGCTACGTTGATGCGTTACATTGTTGGCAAAACCACGGGCGCCGTTGAGTAATATGCCTTTATACGGTAAGCGTTTAAAGGAAAGTTTGCGCATACAGCAACTTACCTTCTGTACCCTCTAGCACCGATCCCGTGACCCCGTACGAGGGTACAGGCTGTGGCACGAGGTAGGGGTCATGCGAGGACATAGATGGTGGAATAGCATTGAGACTGGTGAGTCCAGCTTTCGAGTCGACGATGCTATCACGTCCACTCGAATGCATAGGAGAACTACGAGCGCCGTAGGGCAATAACCCTGTACACGGTAAGCATTTGAAGAAAAACTGCTTATAAAGCAACTTACCTATTGTACCCCCTAACAGCGATCCCGTGACCCCGGACGATGTTCCATGGAGTGCTGCAGGCTGTAGCATGATTTGGCCATCATGCGAAGATGCAAGCGATGTGATGGTATTGAGGTCATTGACTCCAGCTTGAGAGTCGACGGTGCTAGCACGTCCACCCGAATGCTCCATTGTGAAACCTGATTGGTAGTTGCAAACGAGATTCTTGATGCTGTGGATCTCTTGCATCGCCTCACGCACGGCATGGTCTGACACGTCAAGGCGGCGGTCTAACATGTCAAAGCGCTGGCCTAACATCTCAAGGCGGTGGATGCACTCGAGAATTAACTGGAGTGTTGAATACTGGTCAGGCGGTGGGTTTTGTAGTGTTGACATATGTGAGTCCATGTCTTTGATGCAGCTCGATGTATAGGCGAGTGCTGATGTGAGGAGGATACTGTCGAGAGTCGGAAAATCGTATGGCTTTTATATTACTTTTCCATGGCACTGATCTGGCCTCTGGTCGCCTCGTGTCAAGGCCATTCAAAATGAAAAAACGGAGACATGGCCATATTGATATAGGCGAGTCCTCGGCGTTTCGTCTTGGGATATGATACACGTTGCTGAAAGAAGTAGCCTGCATTCGTTCATTTGCAGGAGACAGATAGAACGGCCTTACTGCCATAGTTCTAGGCACATAACCAACACAACCAGGTAGGAGCAAGTATCGAATCATGAATCTCCCAAGTTGGCTCTTCTAAAATTGATTTAATGTGCACGGAATCGATTACCAAACTTGTCTGATACAAAATCATGAGTTAACACATAGCATCTCTATAGTAAATAAATTCTTGAGCTACTTAAGGTTCCTTGGTCTCAGCTGTGTCCCGTACAGTATCAGAATGCATAATGCCCCAGAGACTCTGGACTTCCATGCTCTCGGCTATGCTCCCGACGAATTGAGGATTCCCCGACCAAACGCGGCAATTCAATGCTCCGATGCTCGCGCAGTAACGTTATAAAATTTTGCGAACTATCCGAGTGTAATGCTGTGCAATGGAACCCTCGTTCCTCAGGCCTCAGGAGTCTAGAAAATTGAGGTATAATACCGGAAGCAATACACGTACTACATAGTTGATATCACTTTGTCAAGTCCATCAACTCCGTGCGGGTGGCAAGGGTGGCGACCGTACTTCGATCATCGAGAACTTTTCATTTACATCGACGGCAGAAGGGCGAAGTCCTATATCACCCCAGCATTTTTCGATGAAACCCCAGAAAGAATCTGCGTCGTGCGGACTCGATGGTCTTCTAAGCTTCTTACCCTTGAGTATCAGGACAATGACTTGCTGATCGCTTCGCATATCTGCATAGGGTGGTCTGCCGTCATAACCGGGTACTTTACCTCAACGGGACAAAAATCGAATTTAAAAAAAACCTATGGAATCTTTAGTCACAAACCAACGCAACCACTAGGGAACGCCTCGAACCTGAAGCATGGTGCATCCGAAAGAATAAATATCGCTAGCTGGTTGTGGAGTCAATGACTCTTCGCTCTCGGGGACCTCGAAGAGTTCTGGCACAGCCCACCGCACGTTGCTTCTGATGTATGAAGTCCCGGAGAACTCAGAACACATTGTGAGAATTCCATGGTCTGCTACGTGAGCATTGCGGTCCGAATCTATCAGAATGTTGTTCTGGCGTTTCAGATCAGAACTAGAAGGCAAGTGTCAGACGACTAGTACATACGGCGGTAAGGTCACCGTGGACAACGCCCTTCGAGTGGACTGTAATGTTGTTACTTGTTGTTTTCACAAATTATTGAAGATTCCACATACGGTAGCTGATGGCTGCAGCGACTTGCCGTAACTAAGGTTCCAATGAATACCATGATGTAACAGCACTTCTGAGAGACTCACGAGTCACGATCAGGAGCTTTTGTTCCATGGTCATTTTTGTGAAACGGTGTTCAAGATATGTGGTGAGCGAGCCGTTGTGTATCCAGGGGGAAACCATAACTGAAATTAGTCCAAATTCATGACTAAAACCGAGCAGAGGCAAAAGATTTTCGTGATGCAGTTGCTTGCGTGCACGAAAATCGCCCAAGAGTCTCTGAAGACACGAGGAAGTTTGAGCAAGCGCATCACATGCAAAGGGGAAACCGATAACGTACTTGAGTAACTCTGTCGGAAATTTCCTAAGTCGGTTGCAATAGTACCTTTGAGTCTCGGTACCAACCGTATTGATACCGAGTTGAGATTTTGTACCGATGTTAGCGAAAGTTGGATTATTCAAGGTGAGTCACATTATTGATACCGGGTCACAACCTCATTGACACTGATTATGTACTTTTGAATCAATATGTCTTCTGCAGCGTGCACTGCCAGTCTGTGGCACTGTCCGATCCAGTCAACACTTCCTCCCTCTATCAACTGTGCCCCCCAATTGTTTTTCTACATCTTACTGGTATGTCAGTATCATCTTGAAGTCTGAATCTAACACTGATGCATCAGTATTATGACAGAACACCACAACTTTCATCATCATATGCCTCCAGATCAGTATCGCCTGTGTTCAATTTGTGGCGCATCCTACCATCGACAAGGTCTCTGGATGCATGAAAACGCATGCCGAAAGTGATCTGAACAGAGGAGAGAGGATGTTGAACTTGCTAGAGAGATTCGCCGAGGTACAACATAATATCAATCTGTCAATTGATGTTGCGTCTGAATCAATTCAAATCAATTCATAGAGAGAGAACATAATGCGCAAATAGGGTCTGGACCCGTGTTTGTTGGCGACCAACCATCCAGCTCAGCTCTTTGTATGTTTTCACTAATATCTAGCTCACAGCCTTGAATTGATTGCCATTCGTGACTTGTTTTGGGCTTTTCATTCAAGCCGCTGCCTATCATCATTCACAGGACAATGATGCCTTTGATATTGATGGTCAAATAGACTATCCTAATGATCCTGACATCGGACAGATGAATAGTACATTTATTCTCTCCGCCTTCCCCATCCATTCAGCTCACAATGTTCCTTTCAGGTTCTCCACCACCCGAATATAGAATGGCATCACCTCGACCCCAGTTTGAGGAGGATGACATCCAAGTGCAGTATCATCCCAGTAGTCAGCGCCCAACGCAGGTTTTTCAGTTTGAGGATTATGGACGTGGTCTTGGCGCCCCCACAGTAGTTCCACCAGTTGAACCTGAGCCGTGGTACCCATTCCGAACTCGGATCGACTTCGAAGTTGCGGAGCTTGTTCTTGAAGCAGCACTCACTCACCAGCAGATGGACCGGCTTTTCGACCTCATTTGTCGCACCAAGTCTGAACAGTTCACACTTCGGAATCGCAAAGATGTACGAGATACATGGGACGCGGCTTCGTTTAAATTGACACCTGTCTGTATTCAATTTCTCTAAGTGTAAACTAATCTAAGGCTTTTGCGATAACAGTTTGTAAAGGAAGAGGTAGTTGTGCCATTTCAAGGTGATGATAAGACATTTCAACTATTCCATCGCTCGATATGGGACTGGGCTGTGGATCTCCTTCAGGATCCCCAAGTTGGTCCGCATTTTTTCTTTGATGCTGAACGGCTTTCGAAGTTTAACGGTGACAAGTTCATTCGGTTCATTCACGAGCCTTGGACAGCCAACGCATTCTGGGAGTATCAAGTACGCGACACTATTGTTTTACGGGTCTGCGCCATGCATTAATGTAGCATTGTTATAGTCACAAATACCATCAGATGCCAAGCCTCTCGCCTTCATTCTTTACGCAGATAAAGCCAAATTGTCGTTGTTTGGTCGGGCGAAAGGTTATCCTGTTGTTGCTTGGTGCGCTAACCTTCCTGTTGCCATTCGTAATGGAGAAGGCTTGGGTGGTGGACGTGTAGTGGGATGGCTACCAATTGTTAATTCTGTCCTTCACTCAATGACTGAATATTATCAACTAACAGTACTTTGACAGGTGAAGGAGGACAAGAAGCACTCCGGAAAGCCGGTATATGTCAACTTCAAAAATGCAGTATGGCATCAATCATTTCTGAAGATCCTTGCCTGCCTCGCACCGCTGTCGAAGTTTGGATCTGCCGTTAAATGCTGGGATGACATCATTCGTATCTTGTATCTGATCATACTCATACTCTCTGCAGACTACGAAGAACAGTTTGTGTCAATATTAATGCTCCCTTGGTAACATCTTTGACACTCTTACAGGTCTGTGATGGCATTGATTCGTGGTCTGATGGGAAAATTCCCTTGCCCTATATGTCTTGTGCCTCGTGACAAGCTTTCTAAGACATCTAATATTTATCCTCTTCGCACATCTGCAGGTGCGAAGGCATTACGTGTTCAGGCCCGAGAGTCTACAACCTTGGAAGCGCAAGAACAAATACTGAGCTCCGAGAGCCTTCGTGATGTTGATGTAAGTCTTTGTTTTGTTTCTGACTCTATTAATGTTTAAATTGTTGTACTTAGAATTCATTTGATACCATGGAGAATACTGAGGTTCATCAGGCTCTCTCAAATGACAAACTCCACTTTAACGATGGCGGCCTTTTCAGTGATCACCTGTGGGCTGAACTGCAAAAGTGGATCGAAGGTTCAGGTCGACAAGCTGCTGTGCAGATTGATAGCTCGTACATAGGTTTGTCTATATTTTACAGATGCTAATTTAGATTTCCAGCTTTCACTCGTTTCCACGCTGGCAAAATCTCAATCATTTCGACCAGGTGACATTGATATCTTTTTCTGATGGAATGAAGTATGAAGATATATCAAAGGAAAGTTACTCTAGTAGTAGACTATTCACCATTAACTTAATTAAACAAATGTAGCTTATTGTCTTTGCAGCTCATAATGTATTTCATCAAGATCAGGATTCAGAGGCTTATCTTCTGCTCCGTTGTATTCGTAGCTATGTGGAATTCAACACATATGCTTCATTAGACGTCCATACTGAAGACACTATCAAAGATGGCCGAAAAGCTCTCGAAAATTTGACTCAATTGAGGGATGTATGTTCTTCGTATATTATATTCTCAACCAGCAACACATTGATTCAACTAATATTGCGAGTCAGAAATACATCGAAGACATGTTAGACTTAATTGACAAGTCGTGGAATTTCCTGAAGAAACATCTTTCTGCGCATCTCTTCGACGATATTGAGGCAAAAGGTGTCACCCGAAACTATAACACGAAACCGAATGAAAAAATGCATGGCCCACTGAAGGATGCTTATCAGGATCGTACAAACTTCAAGAACTTCGCTGAGCAGGTAAGCATTACTATTACAACAGTGTATATTAAGTGCTGATGGAATTTGAAGATTCTCTGACATAACCATGACAGCCTTATCGCAGAATACATTCGCGGCAAGTTGAGCTGTCTTGATGCGCAAAAACTCAGCCTACTCGACGCGTCAGATCTGCCCGAGATTGATTCAGAGACTGAACCGACGACAGATGGGCTACATTTCAATCTTGGCTCACCGCAGGCAATGCAGTCATTTGCAGATGTTGAAGCCAGTAAGACAGGCAATCCGGCCTTCATTCGATTTCGGATCAAGCTGAACGAATTTTTGAACCATGCATTCAATGCCAACAATATACCATTTCCCAATGGGAGATGAATCCAACTCGCTGCTGATGACACGGTGTGTCAACATTGCAAAGCACATTATTAGTAACTTATCAGAATCATTCACAGATCACTGAGTACCGATTTCTTAAAGTCAACTATGAATCACTCGTTGACTGGCGTGTATCTGCCGACTATCTATGATGCAGTCCAATGTTTCACGGATTGCCTCAATATGATTTCGTCATCTTGCAGACAGAAGCTAGCATCATCTTCGCACAATTATTGATGGTCTTCACCTGCATGGTTGGAGATGTCCAATACCCTATCGTGCTCACTCTCCCATATGATCAACCTGTTGGTGCTCGTCCATGGAAGGACAAAGATCTTGACTTCTGGCGAGTTAAGGCAAAGCCTCGAGTCTCTGCGGAATTCTTTTTGGTGCAATCCATCATCCATGGTTGTGTATTGGTGGAAGACAGTAGCAGACCCAATGAGGCTTTGGTTGTTGACACTCTCGATACAGATATGTTCCTTCGCATAAAGGAAATTCGTACTAATAGTACTACGGCTGGTTAGTAGGTTACTTGTGACTGATTTGTTCACCTTGACCTTTGTTTGACTGCATTGTCCTACACTAAAGCGGCGAGTTATTAGCTTCCCCTTCAACAACGATCATTATCCCATGCACCACGCTCCCTCTCACCTGCCGCAATGACAAAGGACCAGCTCGGACTCCAGAGGAGAAAAAGCGACAACTGGAAGATCTCTCAGCGACGGCCCATTACTGCCATTACGATTCAGAGGCTGACTGCCAATGGTCATTAATCCTCACACATTTCAACAAGCGTTTCGATTCCCACCTTTGCCCAAAAGGTTGTGACAACTGTTTGAGAGGTGGAACAGTTTTTCGCCAGCTGTACACCTTGGAGGCGCAGCAGGTCCAGGCATTCCGGCTATTCGGGGAAACGGCCTCCACAGATAGGATCGCCCTTGGTCATTTCAAAGATGTATACATTGGTTGGATTCAGAACTGGGCGAAGGTTCATGAGAGTGGGCAAGGGTGTGGATTCAGATGGAGACCTGGACCATACTATCATAAGTGTGATGCTAAGCACCGATATATTTGCGATAGCATGAGAAGCCTCTGTGGCATGCCTCAGCGGCAACCTCCCCGTTGAACTGACATTTAGAGATAGTAATGCCACTTACCGCTGCTTCTACTCTTGCACCAGTTCGTGTATCATCACCTGCTCCAACACCAAGCAAGAAGGTTCGCACATTCTTGCCTTAATCTATGTTGTCCTAGCTAACATGTCCTGAATAATTAGGCTGCTACAGCCCTGGCAAGTATTACCTCACTAGTCTCGCCAACCAAGCCATCTGAACGGACACCCTTCCTGTTTTGATCGATGATCGCAAGTGTTCCATCTCGATGCTGGACTCTCAGACAGCCGATGATGAGGACACCCTTCCTGTTTTGATCGGTTTTCACAAGCGTTCAATCTCGCTGGACTCTCAGAACACCGAGGACAAGCTTGAAGAGCTTCGCAAGAAGTTTGTCGGTGAAATTGACCTACCTGAAAGTCAGTGACTTAATTTCATTTGCGAATCAATCTTCAACTTAACTTTTTAGATATGGTAAATGTACTATGGACATTCTTGCAGGCATCTCATCGTGTGTTCGGAAGCTCACATGCTTCTAGAAGATTTGCACAGTATTGGTCGTTGGCTCTCTGCAGCTGACAACCCAGAAGATTCACACAATATTGGTCGTTGGCTCTCTGTAGCTGACGACCTGGAAGATTCGCACAATATTGGTTGTTGGCTCTCCATAGCGGGTAGCCTCAAATCCGTCGCTTAGGCACCCAGGACGGCACAACCACTGGTCCAATGCCGCAACAAGCCTGGATTGATGGTATCCCTCAACTTTCTGAGCCTGCCATCGCTTCCAAACCCACTTGCTCCCCATTGACACTTACATCAAGGATTCCACCCACCCCGAATACCTCTTTGATGCCATGGAGACTACCTGGCCTTATGTTCTCCAACGAGCGCATCAACCGTGATGAGGGTATGCACACTGATTTGCCTGCTTGCTCTTGAGCCACCTCAAACATCGTCCACACCATCCTCAGGCTGTTGCCATCGAGGATTCATCGAGCAAGGCCGTACTCAAGTTTGGAACAAAGTTGGTCAAGCTTAAGATGAAAACCGGCCTGCAGTAGTTCAAGGACCATCTCGTGTAGAGTCAGAGGTTCACCGCTGTAAGGATTACGTCCCCGATTAGCCGAGTCATGCAGCGATGGGTTCACTGCAACTCATATTCTGTGAGTCACGTATCCAAATTTTCGGTGGTCCATCAGCAATTTGATGTACGGGATCTGGGTGCTGCAGAACCCTCTTCGAAAAGCATGTGTCGGACTACTCAAAGGTGAATGTCAGTCACGCGATCGAACCTAACTCATTGGAAAAGGACTTCTAGATGTGTCATTGCACTTAATTACAGCTCTCCACATGCACTATACCACATGCTGAGTGCCGCATTGTCAATGACATCAGATGATTATGTAATAATATGCTGACATTTTTGCCAAGTCCATTGGTTTCAATCGGTCTTCCAACCTAGATTCAACCAACTTTGTCATTCATTGACACTGTAACTGTAATTGTTACATCAACAAGACCCAGTTTGACGACACTTCAAGGATCACGGAACGGCAGCTACAACCTCTCTACATAAACGTCATGCATCTATGACTCATGTCGCCGTGTCTACAGGTAAGTTGCATCGTTTTCTCTGCCTCCCATCAAGCCACGAGGCTAATTTGTTTGATTATCGGTGCTATACTGCAACACCAAGCTACCTCATGTACGACCATGTGTTCCTTTTGTTCCGACATTGCCCGTTGACTGCCGCACCTATAAGTTGTCTACCCCATCGTATTTTTTATGACCACTGAGTCTGAAATTCAACCCACTGCAGGTATCTCTCTCATTGACATTATGCCCCAGCAGGCTCCCCATCATGTCGTTCAATCTGATGCGTCTGAATCGGACTTCGACGATTTGGACTCTCCATCTCTTACAGCAGGGATCTCATCAACTGCTAGTCGTCAGTCATCTGAAACAGTCTCCAACAGCCGCAGGCAACAGTCGCATGGGGACGTTGAGGTATTGTAGTCATGTAATGCTTGCAACTATTCAATATACTGATTCTCATGTCTTAAGATCGTTCGGCGCTTGCAGTTGGAAAACCAGGCACTCAAGAACGATAACCGTACTCTGGGCGAGAAGAACAAGACTTTGTTGTCTAATCAACGCCGGTGTTCAAGTGGTCAAGTCCCAGATGAGCTGAAAGTTTTCGATGTCGAGCTCTCAACCTTTTCCCGCAAGTACAAAATTGTTGCGGAGATGTTCCCACCTGAGCATCATATCCTCAAACTCCCTGTGCTGAACCATCCACCTGCAATCATATCCAGGAATCGCTATGCCAGCAAAAGTGCTGAAGAGCTCGGTCTTGTGACTGAGCTATACTCACTTCTTCCAGACCATCTCCATCAGTTTGTACCGACTTCGCATTTTCAATTGTTGGTACGTCAGTCTATTATATTGTGTGACCTAACAATGATTATTATTATATACTGCAGCTAGAACAACAACTTCAAGGCGGTCGCTCAAGCGAAATCGGCAAGTTAAGGGTGATGGCAGGTCGAATATTCAGTCTCAATCCATCGTACTTCGACATTGGTTTTACAAACCAGGACACAATCCCTGAAATCCAGAAGATGCTCGGTACTGGTCCAGGTAATCATTCAACATTGTTGAAGTTCCCACCCGTCCTTTTTATGAGGCAGGAAAGGGACCCTACGATGTCCACGGTTTTTGGAAATTGGGAGCCGCTCTCAAAGGTACTTGTTTTATTTATCACTGTCTGAATCTATTCTTATGCTGTCTGGTCCAATTCACCTAGGCAATCAGGATCGTAATGTTTGGGAAAAATTCGCTAGATATTGCTGGATGGCCTCGTGCCAAGTGCAACGCTCGAAAATGGGGCATCACCTCATGCACCCCTGGTCTTCTTGCCTGGGGTTGGGTGGCAGTGAGTTCTTTAAGCCTTCACTACAATCAATTCACAGTATCTAACATTTCTTTAGTTAATCTTCATTCTGTCCCCCGACACTTCGTTCACCAAAGACGGAGTTGGCGTGAAGTCTCATCTACCGTATGCGGCAATGTTCGCAGCCTACAAACAATTGTGGGTGACGCTTTGGGAAGAGCCACGCATTCTGTCGATCTGCCGACAAATCGATCGCCATGTCTGGCAGTCAACATCATCTTCCAATATCGTGACTTCAGACGCTGAAGGCGAGGATTTGACATCCGATCTAATGCGCTTGGCCCTTGCCAATGCAGGGCACGAAGATCGAGAATCAGACTCTCCGACTACTGATGGTCACCGTGTCTCTCTGGTTCCCCCCAGTTCACCGACACTCGCTCTGGCTGCACCACCTGCCTTTCCCCTCACTGCACTAGCACCAGCCATCACCCCTGCTGTCGAGACTACTGCCACTGTAACCCCTCCTGCTCCAGTTGCGCTCGCGGCTGATGAAAACCCCTCCAGTTCCTAATGTACTTGACAGTGTGGAAATGCTGCCACCAGCAGCTTCATCCTCCGGTCGATGGGGCCGTGGAAGGGGAAAGAGGGGTGGGCTAGCGGCTATATCATTGTCAGCAGAGCAGCGAGAAACACGAACTCGGAGAAGGAACTAGAACTACTGTTGCAGTGTATTACAGTAGTATTATGCAGTCAGAGTAGTGCTCATTGTAATCTCAATTTGTTGGTTTCAATGATGTTCGAATTGACTTCAAACTGAACAATATTTATTGAGACAAAGTTAGGAAGCCTTGGGATCTCGATTGCAACCTACAATGAAACCAACTTGCAGCCGACAGTTAATATTACTAATTGGATTGAAACTTTCGTTGAAAGGCACGCTTGCAACCAGCTTGTGACATAATTGTAACATAATGCTCTTTTATTGTAACATGTTGGAACCTAGGCTCGTCATTGGATCCGTGCAACCCGTTGCAAGGTCATGCATCCCGAATAGGAAATTTCCGACATCTGACCCTGGGAAAGAGTATCAAGGCAGTCCTCATCAATCACATACTGCATGTACGGTAGACTCATGTGTGTGTGTTGTGCTCTGTTAAAGGGGCAGGCCGGCACTACATTCCTCCCACGTTAGTGGAGGAGGCTTTGTCAAACGTGGAGTAACTGAATCGACTTCAAGACTTTGGCCCGAACAGAACGGAACTTCCCATTTGAATGGGTGTCAATACTAATCGTAAAATTCTGTTCTCCGCCAGTGACTACAACATGGACAGCCCTGCGGTGTTTTGCCTTGAGACATACACATCCATGTTAGAACAGAATAGCCTGCATGGTACTATATCATTTCATTCATTCGCAGGAGACAGATAGAACGGCCTTACTGCCACAGTTGGCTCTTCTAGAATCGATGAACCCCAAAAATTTAATGTGCACGGAATCGACGCCAAACACTAGCGGACGATGAGACAACGGATAAGGTGGATGAGCATATGGAATTTAACGGTGAGGTAAGAGACAAGATCCGCAACGTATGAGTAATGCAGTATGAGTAACCAAACATTCGACAATACCGTGCGGTGTCCATCAGCGCTTCAGCATTAATTACATGTGAAGGACGTAAGCCCTGGGTTAACACATAGCATCTCTATAGTGATACATTAAATCTCGGACATCAGCAATAGGAGGCCGCTGTGATAACTCAACCCAACATTGCTCAATAAAGTTCCAGTGACAATCTTCGATAGCAGGGATGTCTGGACACTTAGGCTTGACACCATTGAGGATGGCCACAACCACTTGGTGATCACTGCGAATGTTATAGTACAGCTGCTTGCCCGATGAAACCTGACACAAATGAGAACAAGAGCACTACAAATATACCGTTATTGACAGACCTGGTATGGGATGCATCCAAATGAGTAAACATCACTTTCTAGTCTTGGTGAGCTAGATGCATCCTCAGTGTCAGAACTTCGAAGAGCTCAGGCGCAGCCCATCGTACATTACTCCTGATGTAAGAGGTCCCGTTCAGGTCGGAACATATACTATCAACTTACCTTAATGCAATGCACAAATGACGTGGTATACGATATTGAAGACCAGCAGCTAGCTGCGTGTTGCAGCGCTCATGAGTTATGGTGTAGCTAATGATCGCTGAGGAAGACTTACCAAACCGAACTTGTGAGTCCCAGAGAGACTGTCATAGTTTCTACCAAGATACGTGCTCAAGGATCCGTTGGTCATCCATGGAAATACGATAGCTGGTACTGGACCAAATCCATAGGTAATCCCATACAAGGAAAGAATGTTTTCATGGCACAGTAGTTTCCACTTGCAGAAGTCGTCCATTAACCTTTGCAAATATTTTCATATTATTAAAGTGAGTGTTCTACATCATGTCGGCCCACCTCGTTGACGATTTTCTTGAAACTGTCATCCTGAATTTCGATCCTGACACATTTAACCCCAGTGAAAATCGACAAGAATCGGGTAGATATACGTATATAGATATCCAAAAAATAAAGGCCCATGAAATCTATCGATGTATTTCGATGTATTTAGACAAATGAGACTTTTCGAGACAGAAAAAGAATGACATCGAGAAACAATTTAGACATTTAGATATGATTCTCAATCTGTTTAGACCTACCGATACACATTTACATACAAAATATCACTCAATTTGATCCAAAAACAAATCTAATGAGAGCAAATGACATTATCTATAGGTATCGCTATCATTAGGTGAGTAGGCTCTTTGTCGGCAGTAGACAACCCATTCCAGTAAGTCGCGAAGACGCTTGCTGGTTCCTTTTGATTGCCGTTCGATTGCCACTTGAGGGCGCAAATATTCCTAGAATGATAGAGTTAATCTTGCTATGAAAATAATATATAGAACTCACCGCGCCGTGATCTTGGGGCTCACGCGCATCGGCTTGGTACTCAGCTGTTGCTTCTTGATGGCATCAGGCTTCGAGTCGAGCTAGAAACACAAGGGAGTGATTGTGTTGAGCGGGGGTCGCGGTGGGGATGAATGACATGGTGGGTGGAGGAGAAGATGCATGTGGTTCAACTGCACCGACTCGGTCACTCGGATATGATAAAGTTAACATATGTGCAAATGCAAGAAGTTATGCACCTACAATATGCATGTACATGTGCAATATTGCATGCATATGCAAAGTTTGTCAAAAGTTTGTTACAAAGTGTGCAAACAAAGTTTGACATGCTTGCTTTTTTACCTTTGCAAAGGTTCTTTGCATTTTGCACAAAATTAGAGTTTTACCGTCTCGAATTTCTTAGATTTCTATCTATCTCATTCTGTACTTAGACGTCTATTGCTACCTATCTACCTCATTCTTGTCGATTTTCACTGGGATTTAACCGCTACCTTGAAACTTATCATCAGATGTCAGAATTTATTATGAAACTCATACCAACCTCCACATTATTATCTTTGTCTGAGACCATGCATTTCCATACGTCACCGAAACTGCCCTGGACAGTAGCATAAGCCAATTCCTTCGCGACCTTCACAGTAAGGCCGACCGGGCGTCTGAAAATTTTGGCACATGAGTCAGCTTCATTCAAGGTAAAGCCCGTCTACTCACTCATTATCATTGGAGCCTACATCCAGGTGTGTCGCGCCCGACGTCTCTGTTTCCGGTTGGACTTTCCGCCATTTCTTAGGCAGCACACTCAGGCTGAAAATCCACGCGGAAAGAGTATTCATCTGTCGCCCTGGCAACGTAATGAGGCCCGGTGACCACACTAGAACGAGAATAAATACTAGACTGCGAGATTCCTGCCTTCATATCGACGTTCAAGAGGCTGAGTGCAGGAGCAAAAGGCGGCGCTAGGTTCATGGGAATTTGCCACGACTACAGGAATGGGCCGTTGGGCATCAACGTAAAACGGTCGCACCGTCACGGTACTGCTTCCCGAATCCCGTAGTAGGCTAAAATTGGTTAGAGTTCGAAATTCTTGAACTACAGCTAATTATATCCGAGTGCAATGGAATCCTCGTTCCTCAGGGGTCCGGAAAATCGAGGTAAGTTCCTGATAATACAGGAAGCAATAGTTGGTATCACATCGCCTTGATCGTGACTCGGAGAATTATTACCACTGGAGAAGACGCACTTTGATAGCTGCACTTTCTTTGATTACCGGCTAGTCGTAAAAGACGTAGTCGCCTAAGACTCATGCATGTAATACACGAGCACGTTCACAAGCCAAGAAAATGGGTATCGGCTTGGAACGCCACTCACATCGATTGGGCATAAGCCATTGCAGAATTTGAATTCAGAGATAATAACACCGCTTGAGATCTAGATCGAAACTTGAAGCTTGAAATTTGAAATGCTGAAGACTCACGTAATCTCGTTGAAAGATCGATCGATCAATCATCATGAGCTCATCGCTTCAAGAGGTTTCCCCTGAATGGCCCCATGTTCCCTTTGAGATCTCCATATCTACCTCTAGGGCTTTCTCTGCTCATCGATGGCTCAACCTTCCTTGAAGGAGCGAATGAAGTAAAGGGCGAACTTTTGGCCACCAAGGTGGCCTTGTATAAGTTCTATTAAATGAACACCATACAAGATACAAATCTAGAATCTTCCACATCCGGTCCGAAGGATGTGCTCATTCATCTGATACGAGCGCTTGAACACCTTTCTGCAGCCTGCACAAACTGCCTTAAACTTCCTCTCGTGCACCTCTTTGACGTGACGAGTGAGGTTATCCTTGTTGAGGATTGCTGAGCATCCGTCCTGCGTGCATTTTACTCTATCCTTTGCTTGGCTGGCCTGCATAACGAGGACAGGCAGCTGCGCGTCGGGTCCGACTAAAGAATCCGATGGGACATGCTCCTCGAGATAAACGCTTTGGAAGGGTTGCGCAGCAGGTTCATAGATGGAGTCGATCGTGCCATGGAGCGAGAAACCTAGGAATATATTCTAAGCGTTTCAACGAAAAGTTGCGAATGATAACAAATTTACCGAGGCGAGATTTCACACCCTCAGACTCGAATGATGATTCCGTGATACGCGGGTCACAGAATGCCGGAAAGCCCTCAGAGTACATGCTGTGCTGAGGCGCTACATAGTTGGCAAAACCGTGGGTGCCATCGAGCAATAATGAGCCTGTACACGGCAAGGGTTTAGAGGAAAGAGTGCGTATACAGCAAATTTACCTTCTATGTTCTCTGATAGCGATTCCACGACCCCGGACGATGCATGGGGTGTAGGTTGTGGCATGAAGTAGCGGTCGTGCGAATATCCAAATGGTGTAATAGCATTGAGACCATCGAGCCCAGCTTGGGAGTTGACGGTGCTATCACATCCGCCAGAATCCTCCATGGTGACATTTGACTGGCAGTTGTCAAGGATATTCCTAAAGAGGCTCCGGATTTCCTGGATTTCCTCGTGCACACGACACTCTAACATATCAAGGCGGTCGAGGCACTGGAGATATAACTGCAGGACTTCAGGGGCCTGCCCTGGTTGTGGGAACGATGGGCTTCGTAGTGTCGATGTGGATGGATTCATATTGCGCTCACGTCCTTGTCTGTGATGCAGTGGAACCTATCTCTCTGTGAATTATAGGCGAGAACGAACGTGGGGAGAATACTTGGGAGAGTTGGATTGAACGAAGGACGGCTTTTATGCTCCATGCCTATGGCACGCCTGGCAGGCGTAATCTGGACTGCCCTGATTGAGTAATTTCCTCGTAACCTCATGTTGTAAATTGGCAAGTTTTGAAATGAAGTGCGCACCGCTACACCTGGGAGATACGTGACATGAATGCCAGTTCGTAAAAGTGGAATTTAGCTTACTTTGACGCAAGTCGAAATCGACGCGATTGGAGACCAGCAGAAGGTCTTACGACGTTATGAGATGGTGTCGTATCAGGCAGAACTTGGTGCCAGTGTGAGCTGTTGTGGGAGAAGAATAGCTGGTACGTACTGAACTAAACGCATAGGTAATAACGCACATAAGAAGAGTGACGTGCTTGTGCCAGTTTCCATTCGTCCAAATCCATCAACTCCGTGCGGCTGGCAAGGGTGGCGACCGTACCTTGATCATCGAAAACTGCGTCGACGATCTTCATGCTGGATGAAAAGAAGCAGAGTTTGATTAGATCTGAGCGCTTTATGGCGTTATGGATATCAAGAACCTTTTGATTCACTAATCACTAGTATTTCATTGGTGGATTGGAATAGGCCAATATGGCAGTGCCGCAGGCCTGCACTGCTACATGCAGAAAGTGAATAAGCCATTGCCTCGCTTCTACAAATATGAATAATTTAGCATTGCCAATTCTAAATCAGTTAGAATAGAAATCTAGTGAATCAAAAGCCACGTTAAACCACGCTAGTCCTCCGTCCTCTTCCATTGAATCCGCGATAGAGTTAATCCCGGCTGACTTTACCCCATGGGTCAGGAAGTCACCCACCCGATCGGCGCAAACATCACGCTTGATTCCAGCGGAACAAGATCTTGCGGTCCTCGCACAGCACTACCCGGAAAATTAGTCACTTCCTTGCCGCTTGAATCACCTTCTCTGGGCGTTCCAACCCATCGTGCACAGTAAATGAACAATCGACTTCAAGTCTGGTTTACGATGTTGTAGCTTGAACAGAACGTTTCAATTATGCACGTTATAACCGTGAAAAGTTCTAAACGCCATCAGGTAATATAGCAAACCTTGGAGTGTGACGCTCGAATCATGGATCCCACAAGTTGGTTCTTCTAAATCGACGAACCCTCATTTGATGTGCACGGAATCCCAAGAAGTCGATGGCCATACTTATCTGGTACAAAAACATGAGTTAACACAGCGTCTTTATATATAGTGACACATCAAACCTCGGACATCAGCGATGAGAGATCGCTGTGATGACTCAACCCAAAATTGGTTTATAAAGTCCCAGTGACAATTGTCAACGGCAGGGATATCTAGACGCTCAGGCTTGACAGCTCTCGGCGATGGCTACAACCACCTAGTGATCAAGTACTGTGAATGTTACAGTGTGGCTGGCGGCCCGATAAAACCTGACACAAGAGCGCTGCGGATATACATCGTCGATAGACCTGGTATGCAATGCATCCAAATGAACTTTAAATATTAGTTTTGGTGAGCTAGGCACTGACCTTCGGTATTCGGAACGAGCAGGTCAGTCCCGAATCCCAATGTAGGAGTCCCGGTTAGGTCGGAACATGTGGTCAAGAGCCCATGGTCAACTACAAGAGCTCTTTCGTCAAGTACTGTTGAGAAGTACGTTGCAGGAACGAAGATGTGAGAAGCGTCGCATATCTGCACACCGCACAGTTGCTTACATCTGTGAGATGTGCATGGTGTATACTATCAGTTTATCTTAGTGCGATGCGAAAATGACATGACATGACATACGATATTGGAGACCAGCAGCTACATCAGCAAGCTGTGACGACACCCGTGAGTTGTGGTGCAGCTATACCATTGTGGAAGACTTACTAAACCGAATTTGTGGGTCTTTCGTGGTTTTCATCAAGACATGTGCTCAAAGATCCGTTGGACATTCGTGGATATACGATAGCTGGTACTGGACCGAACCCGTAGGCAATCCCGCACAAGGGAAGAATGTTATTATGGCGCATCAACATTCAACCTCTGCAAATATTTTCATATCATTATAGCGGGTGTTCTACAACATATAGGCTCACCTTGCTGAAATTATTCTTGAAATGTCATCCTAAATTTTGAGCCTCACACATTGAACCGCCACCTTGAACCCTATCATCAGATGTCAGATTTTACTACGAAATTCATACTAACCTCCGCGTCAATATCTTTGTCTGAGAACATGCATTTCCATACGTCACCGAAACTGCCCTGGGCAGTAGCATAAGCCAATTCCTTCACGACCTTCGCAGTAAGGTCGACCGGGCGTCTAAATTGGTTGAAAAAAATTCTCATGTGAGTCAGCTTCATTCAAGTTGAAACTCTGCGAAAAAAATGCGTTACTCACTCATTATCATTGACGTCTACATCCAGGTACGTCGAGCTCGACGTTTCTGGTTCCGCTTGGACTTTCCACCATTTATTAGGCAACACACTAAGGAGCCAGGTGGGAAGGGAAAGTATTTGTCGCGCTGGCAGCCTAATGAGGTCGGATCTTTTAGGCCCAGGGCAGTTTGGATAACCAGAAGAACGAGAATATTCGCAAGATCCCTGCCTTTGTGTTGACGTTCAAGAGCTGGTTGTAGACCAAGGCGCTGGCATTCATGGGAGTTTACCACGACCACAGGAATATGCCGTTGTGACAACATAAGGTTAGTCCCAAATTCTGAATCAGGTTGATCAAATTTTTAGGGTTCCCTTCTCTTTGGTCGTCCGACCTAATAGTATGACCGTGTCATCTGCAGCTCTGCAATAGATCAGCATCTCATGCGAAGACAGCTTTGATGGCGTTGACGAATCAGCTAAATTCTCCTTCTGTCCTCGTTCAGCTCTTGCTTCAGTCAGTGGTCTCATTACAGCCCGTCTAGCAGGTGAGCACCACCCTGCTCGCGCAACCGTGGAAGTGCACGTCCGCCCGCTCTCATCAGTGCCAGGAACTGCAGATAAATCTCGATACGAGAGATCGTAGAACGCTCGTGTCCTCTCGCACAAGATCCTCACACTTTCATTCGGGTCATCGTTTAAGCCCCAATACATCTGTCCCTCGGTTATGCCCTTCTCGGACCCGTCCAGCATTGCTGGATAACGCTCCATTAACGCAGGAGGCGTCTGGGTGCAATGGCTTGATACCTGTAGATATCGCAAGGAATCTGTGTGTTACGTCGGAAGTAATGATAAGGAGCTTTATCAGAAAGGACCTAGGGCGATGCTGAGGACACAAATACTGAGACGTAAAATTACGCACCTGAAGTATCATACCTCCAAAGGAATATACGTCACCTTGAGCACTAGGAAGGTCCACGAAATTGCTCAATTCGTTGGAAACTTGAAAAAGTTCTCGTCCGATCCATCTCACCATCCCTTCGATGGAAGAAAAGAAATAAGACAACTCCGATAGTAGAACTTCCATCCCGAAGGCAGCCACATATGCCAGTGCTCATCCGAGATCGTTGATGAAGATATTCGACTGAACCGAGATGGGATCAAGTGAGTGATCCATACCCGGAAAGATAACGCCACGGTCATGCAGGGTCATAAAAGCTTGAATTGGCGCGAGAAAAGTCGATGCGTACGATAAAGAACTACGGGAATGACGTCCAGAAGCTGTCTAGTCCCGTGAAACGGGGTCAGCAATCGTAACAAGTGTAATGGCTGCTTACCGGTGCTCATCATCGCCCTTCGGGTCGACGCAGTGATCTGATAGTGGTATTGATCCAAGTAGCGTGTCAGAGTGCCAATGAATTATACAGTCTTCTGCACACGTTTAGAAACCCTCGCTCAAACTCCTATGCAAGTCCACGCACCTCGTGTCAGCGCCACATCTCGTGCCTTTGCGCATGCACCCCACCCAAAAACAGCTGCCAGACCAGCTCTCACAGCTTCGCATCCTACCTCTGGGACATGTAAGCTAATGAGTAAATACAATAACGACTTGGTACACTTACCACTAAACCACATGTACATTAGGTCAGCTTACAACGACAATAAGCGAGAGAGAAAAAAATTGTATACATGGGTGGATGCTCGATTGGGTCACGGTGCATGTATTGCGTTCGATGGCGCTAATAGAGACTGGAGCTGTGAAGAGCAATTGTAAGGATGTCGTACACACAGCGCAGTTCTCGTGAGTGAGAGAAAACAGAGTCACAGGAAATTTAGGGTCTAACGCTACAAACTGCATCACAATCCTCACCTGATCCAGGACCACTACCGCCAGTTTCATCGTTTGTATGGTGTTCAGAATCTTGATGAGGAGCAGCTTGAGGCTAGATGAACGAGACAGGTACGACACGTTTTATTGGTAACACGTACACCTGTAACTAAGTTCGGTGTGAACGTAGTTAGCGAACACTTGGAGTTGTTTTATGATGGGGCGACATACCTTCAAGTTCACGTCTGGATCGCTCTTTATGACTTTCTTAATGCGAGTGAGAGGGAGTGGAGAATTCCTGTAACCTGGTGTCTCTGTATCCACTTGCCGCTGCCAAATGAACGATTGAGAGGCTTCCCGAACTAGACGTATGGGGCGACATTAAAGAGTAGGTGGGAGTTCAGATTATTAGTAACCTTAACCCTAGAGGCATGCTTAATTCTGATTAACTCTCCGTCTTTGGGACGTTGGAAGGAGACGCCGAGAAACTCTATTGGAAAGGTATCCATTATCTTTGGCGTCCACGGATGTAGACGCCAATGATAAGGGATCACTTTACTAAAGATCAAAGGGGGAAGGGAAGATATCTGTCGCATTGGTAGCACCACGAGGCCAGATCTTTATAGGCCCGGGGCAGTTGGGGTAAATTACAAGAACAAGAACAATTACTAGGCTTTGCTAGACTCCTGCCTTTATATCTATGCTCAAGAGGCTGCTGACTGTAGAAACCAAGGCGCTACATTGATGACAGTATTTACCACGACTAAAGGAATATGCCGTCAGCATCAACCTAAAATGGTCGCACCTGTGTAGGTACTGCTTCGAGTCAGATCTGTCCAATATTCGTGCTGGTCAAGGTTCCGTTCCGACTCTGGAATTCGACGCCCTTGGCTATGGTCCCAATAAATCGAGGATCTCCTTATAAGCAGATGCAATACAAAGTGTACTGAATGGTAGTACGTATCTTTCTCAATGCTCTGATGGACAAGTTGACTCGAGTCATTGCTAACGACTCCGTAATTAAGGGGGTGGTCACACCGATCATCCCTGATATAGATATTTCATTCCTATTGTGTTGCTATAAATAATTCTGTCCCAGGATTTCATTGGTTCCTGGATGCTTGTGATACACGTTGCTAGAACAAAAGGAGCCTGCATGATTGACCCGCATATATGTCATTTCAGCTTATGTACATGGCCAAATGAAATATATTCATATTCCCATTCATGTGTGACCAACACAACCAGGCAATACAGCAAGCCTTGAAGCTTGAAGCTTGAAGTGTGACGGTTGAAT